TCTGTAATTTACAAAAAAAAAAAAAAATTATTTTTTAAAAAAATAAAATATAAAATTAAAAATAAAATTACGAGAAATTTAAATTAAATAGAATTTCTTAACTAAGAATAAAAAAAAACGTGTGGTCCTTTAGAATTTTAACGCTATATAAACAGAGATTAGAAGATAATAAAAAAACAAATAGAAAAAGGTATGTATTAGAGTTAAACTTTAAGTTTATAAAACAAAAAAATTCGAAATGAATAATATGTAACAAATGGTAAATTATATAGGAATAATGGGGTCGTTTTGGATTAACGATAACGTTTATAAACTCTAATCTAATCATGTTAGATACTTTGCCAATTAGTGTTGTTTAAACGTTCGATTTAAGCCGATTTTTTGAAAATGGCTAGCTAAAATTTAACCAATCGTCGAAGCGTTGAGAATTTCAATCTTCAAGGCTCACTTTACTCTTTTTTTTTTCTACCATAAAATATTGAGTTCGCCATTTTTAAAAAATCGGCTAGAATGGGGCAGTTCGTTTTACGACACTAACTACTCGCCATAGTTAATTTCCGGCTAAGATAGACGCCATTGAAAAGTGTCTAATTGTTTTCAATTTTTAATTTTAATGAAACGATTGTCAATCAGAACGTGTATTCGAAAGGATATATTTGTGGTTTCAAGTTACGGACTGAGATGTGGCGGTAGCATTCATGATTCGAATCCAACCAAGAACAAATCTCAAGTTTCCCTGATGGTTAAAAATAAAACGTTAAATTGGTTTGATCTGATATGGAAATGATATCTTTAGAGACCAAAATTTTGACCCCAAGATCATTAAAGTCGTGGCTTATGGGCCTGCTAATAAAGAACAAGGAGGGTAGGACATAAAATAAATCTGGCAACTTTTTACTTACAAAAGCCCTAGCTATAAACAATTGCGCGATTAATTTTGAAATATGATAAAAAATCAATATAAAAGAGTCATGGTAATATTTTGTATATTATCCTTGTAGTTAAATAACTTTATCATAATTACTAATGATAAATAACAAAATCCCAGCTGATTCTCGTAGCTATTGTGTTGGTTCATTCTCTATTTTATAAAATTATACCTAATTTATTGGCTGAATGATTTTCGTAAATAACGCGACAAAATACCGTACAGCTTGAAAAAATGGCGTTTATTATGAACGAGGCCTTTACACGTATACCGTATTTTTTTAACAATTTTTTAAAGGAAAATCACCTAACACTCCATTTTCTTTACTTTTTTTTAAAAAAACAAATGGATTGAAGTTTCGCTAAAATTTAGCCGAAATTTAATTTTATATTCAATTTAATGTGTACTGAACTATTTTAAAATAAAATTTTATGTGTAAACTAAATATAGATTATATTTTTAGTTTTTTTAGAATTAATTAATAAAAAAAATATCCAAAATAAAGATATTTACTTTGAAGAGAATTCTTAAGAAGAATATTCAAATGAAGAGGTTCTAGGAATTTCGCGCGCTAAAAGGAAACATATGGGAAAAACAAATAAAATGTTTTTGCTATTTTATATTATTTATTTATATTAGTATAAAAAAATGTAATATTGACTTGAATAATGTTAATACTAACTAGAGGTGGGTACGGACCGTGAAATTACACGTGACACGATGGGTCAGGGTGAGGTGCGTAAGTGTGAACATAATAATTAGGTCCGCACCCATCATTAGTAACAACCTAAGGCCATTTCTAAATAACGTTTTTTTCAAAGTGATTGTTTTCTAGTTATGTTTCCAGCAATATTTTTTTTATATTTATTGCCAGATAGGATAGTATTTTTAAAATATTAATGGGGGGGGGGATCATATTAAGGACAGATGTATTCTTAATTCATTAAAACATTTATAAAAAATCAAATTTTGGAATTAGATAATCATAAAGTGGCTAATTTTCCATAACCTTGTGGCACGGGTTTAGCTGGCAATCTGTGTTGGGGAAAATAGAGGACCCTGGTTCAGCTGAAACAAAATCTTGATCTCTTAGAGGAAAAGCCATTCAGTAGAAAAATGTGATAGGAATTTATACGAAATGCAATGCAATACACTGGCCTATAATAATTACGCGGTCAAAGAAAAATTAAAATTAAAACTGGCTTCAATCTTTATAAAAAAAATTTTTAATAGATAAATCGTTAGTATTAATTTCATTGATAAAAATCATGATCACTTCACAATAACACCATCAAATAAAAAAAATACCTTTTTACAAATATAGCTAAATAAGATAAATAAAATATCTTATTAAAAAAATTAAATTTTTATCAAAAAAAAAATCCACTAACATAGTTTATTTTATTACCATCTTCTAATCTGTTTTATTTCATCTCGTGAAATCGGAAATTCTTATCTTTTCTTAAAAATTCTCTTCCAAAGTAAGTTTCTTACTTATTTTTATTTATTTTCTTTATTTCTTTCTTTCTAAATAAAAAAAAAAATTGGATTATTAAAATTTATAAAATAAATTAATAAATTCATCTAAATTCAATTTATTTGTAATGCAATAAGATTGTAGGTGGTTTGGCCTTGAAATAAGTTTTTAACGAAAAAGGTACATTTTAATATATTGGGCCTTTAAATTTTCTGCTAAGGTATTTTCATCAAAAAAAAAATAGAACCCATCCTCATTCAATCCTCAGTGATTTTGAGAAAGTTACATCACTAAGCGATAATACCAAAAAAAAATACGATACTTTTTTGCAATATTTTGAAAATATCTTTATTATCGTAATACACCCTAATTTTTTGGGTTTTAACTCTTGGTGAGAATTGGAAAATTTGCTAATTAAACTAGGCTTTCAATATAGAGTAAATAGTATTTACCCCCTTCCACTATATTCCATTTTTAGCGGGCCCTAGGTCTTCCACCAAATTTTGGCTCTCTAGATACTATTATTTCATATGTTTACAAACTTATTTTTAAAATGCTTGGGATGGGATATATTATTTTTCAGACTACATTTTTGAATACCCCTTATCTATAAAACTTGAAATTTTGTGGAATTCTTACTTTTTTTTGAATAAAAAAATTATCGATTATTGGTAAAAACAATGAATTTTATTTTTTTTTTGAAATTAATTTAAGTTAGACGCTAAAACAATATAAATATTGTCAACTTCATCTCAATAGGAAAGGTGAAATCAGATACCAAATTATCCTTAGCAGCATACCTATATTCCAAGTGTTGTTAAACACACGGATAACTCAATACTTTTTCCAGAAAAATATTAAGCAAGCCTAAAGATTTTGTTCATAGAAGGCTCAACTGTCTAGGGCATATAACAGTGAAAATTTATCAAAGAAATGTCAGAAAAATTACAAAAATAAACGAGGAAATTTAAAAAAATAAAATAGCGAATTTTCTTAAAATTGATAAATTTTAATCTAGGAAATTTTTAGTAAACATGCCCCTTTAACGAAAAAAAAATAAGAATACAATAACAATTATAAAAATTAATGTTATCGTTGAAAAACTGATAAGAAATTTATTCATACACATATTTATATAGAAAAATTTAGTAGCTTTTTGAGCAACTATTTTATGGAATACCGTATATGAAAAATTATATTCTAGTAGCCTACTGATACTAATATCAGTGCCATATAGTAATACCTAGACTGTACATACGGCTGGGGACGTCGCCGTTTTGATTAGCCGTATCGCTATTAAAAATTTTAAACGAGATGCCAATTTATTTCCTATGTCTTGACGCAAACTTTATTAAAGCATTTGCCTGATCATCGAGATAAGAGAAGAGAAGAGAAGAGAAGAGAAGAGAAGAGAAGAGAAGAGAAGAGAAGAGAAGAGAAGAGAAGAGAAGAGAAGAAGAAGAGAAGAGAAGAGAAGAGAAGAGAAGAGAAGAGAAGAGAAGAGAAGAGAAGAGAAGAGAAGAGAAGAGAGAGAAGAGAAGAGAAGAGAGAAGAGAAGAGAAGAGAAGAGAAGAGATTCTGGCATCCCCTCTCTCTAAGGCCTGGCGTAATTGCCTTCCAAAAATTAAAAATATATATTTTTAATTTTTGGAAGGCAATTAGAGATTTTTCTATCTGCTGAAACTTATCAGCAATATAAGATTTGCAATCTAATTTTTAAATAGTTCAATAATTCAAAAGGGGGTATATCATTAAATTATTTTTCTGGCATCCCTTCTCTCTAAGGCCTGGCGTAATTGTCTTCCAAAAATTAAAAATAGCAATTAGAGATTTTTCTATCTGCTGAAACTTATCAGCAATATAAGATTTGCAATCTTATTTTTAAATAGTTCAATAATTCAAAAGGGGGTATATTATTAAATTATTTTTCTGGCATCCCCTCTCTCTAAGGCCTGAGAGAAGAGAAGAGAAGAGAAGAGAAGAGAAGAGAAGAGAAGAGAAGAGAAGAGAAGAGAAGAGAAGAGAAGAGAAGAGAAGAGAAGAGAAGAGAAGAGAAGAGAAGAGAAGAGAAGAGAAGAGAAGAGAAGAGAAGAGAAGAGAAGAGAAGAGAAGAGAAGAGAAGAGAAGAGAAGAGAAGAGAAGAGAAGAGAAGAGAAGAGAGTAATTAAGGGTAGCAAGGCAATTTATCGATTTAAATAGTAGTATTTTACCAAACATGAGAATAACAATCACCATATGGGTTACCAAAATGGCGGTTCCAGCCTGATTGGTTTATTTTTTTTTAATAAAAAAAGGCAATAGATCAAAAAAAACTTAGCCAATGATGGCCAACGAACCAATGAGAGTCATAAAAAAATGGTTTCCTAAGTTATCGCGTATAATCGGCTAACGTCAGCGAAAAAAAAAGTTATAGCTGGCAGGGAATTGGACCTGAGTTGAAAAAGCTTGCAGAGACTCCACTATCTCGGAATATTCTCTAATTTTTTTTTTACTTCCTTTACAATTCATAAAAGAACTAATACAATCGTCATCTTTATAGAAAAAAATGTGCCAAAAAAAAAGTTATTTTTTTTCATCTTATGACGCTCAATTGTTTGAATCATTAGCCAAAAAAAATAAATAATACCATTTATATACGAGAATTTAAAAAAAAAAGGAATAAAAAATTAAATCAAGATGGCCATCATGAAATCCTGCTGTTTCTGCTTCTCTCCGCGGACCGGAAGCGTGCTTTGCGCGATTATCTCCTTGGTAAACACAATTATATATATCTGTATCCCTATACAAATTTCTTTTAAGACACCCTCCAAAAACTGATGATTCTAACCCACCCCCGCCCTCTAATGACCATGATGGCTTTCATGGTTAACCGTCCATCTGGTGTCTGCCAATTTGGGTCTATTTTCTATTAAGATTTTTAGCCAAAAAAATATGGCATGTAAGCCTGGAGAAGGGTTCGAACCTCTGTATGCCATATCTCGAGGCCCTTGGTATTATTTTGGCTAAAGATCTTGATCGGACTGCTATTAAAATTTCGACCCTAAAATGGCCGCTTAACAAGATAGTCTTGTTCCTATTATATTTGTCGGATGAAACCGCTCGGACAGGCCGATGTCCGTTTAATGATGTAGCGGTGTTGGATCTTCTGGATTCATAAAAAAATATTTAAAAACCGGAAATTAAACATCAAGTTGTCAAGACTTTCTATTAAAAAAAAAACTCTTCCCTTTTTTTTGTACAGATTATTTTCTTGATAGAAGCCGGATTTACGATCAACAAATTGGCGGACAGGCAAAGTGGGAGACAAGGAAACGACAATAAAGGTGATAAAATATTTTGTTTTTTGAATCAAAAACATTTTATTTCGCCTCATTTTTAAATTAGAAAGAAAGAAAGAAAAAAAAAGGAAAGAAAAGAAAGTAAGAAAGAAAGAAAGAAAGAAAGAAAGAAAGAAAGAAAGAAAGAAAGAAAGAAAGAAAGAAAGAAAGAAAGAAAGAATCAATTGCTAAATTTTATTCATTTAGTGTTTTATAATATTTTTTGGTTCTCTCCTTATAAAAAAATGATTTTTATTTGTATAAAACTTTAGGAAATTATTTTAAAAAAGTTTTTCAAAAAATCCATTTTACACTCTTTTTTATCATTATTTGATCATTTAAATTTTTTATGTAAATAACCGGCTCAATTTGAGTCAATGATATTTAAAAATGACTAACTGAATATTTTATCCAGAATAATAATATTTAGCCTGAAGAGTTTTGCTTATAGATGACACAAAGGTCTAGACACATTTTGGGGAAATCTAAAGGCTTAAGCAATATTTCGTCGGACTAAAATATTGAGTTAGCCGTTTTTAATAATAGGCTCAAAATGCCAGTTTAATAAATGTTGATTCAATATTTGGTTGATATAACTAACGTATAAGTATTAATTCATATTTTAACAAAATAATCAAATATTGGTTAACATTAAAAATTTGTTGTAGTATATATTTTACAAGGTTTGGGCTTAATTATAAAATCCCTTTTTTTTTGTAATTACTAACTGTAATTAATTCCACTTTTGGAGTAAAGATTCGTAATTAGGAATTAACAGTTATAATTACTAATTACATGAGTTGATTATCTAGCTAAACAATTTGATTTAAAACATGAAATAATATAAAATGTTTCAATGAATCCTTTCCAAATCTAAAAAAAAAACTAGAGATCATAAAAAACGATTCTTGATAATTTCTTTGAATTTGAACAGTAATTATGTCTACCCCCATTATCCAATTACATTATATCATACCTAAAAGATGATAGAGGTCCATATAAATATTTTAAACCCAATTAATGGATTTTGATTAAATGGAAATCATTCGACGAATAACCGCAGATAAAAACCCCGAAATAAAAGGGGCCCAAAAAGGACAAAATAGTTGTATAAGAGGATTTTTCATATAAATATCTTCTAAGAAGAAGAAAAAAAGACATTAATGAAAATTAAACAGAATAATTCTTCTTACCCCCTAGGCTAGCTAGGGTCGGGTTAGGGCTGAAAAAAATTATTTTGCAGACCTCTATCCCTTTTACACTAATAAAGGGATTGATAGTGTTGATTTGTAGTGGGAATCTATAAACTGAGAGAGGTTGCTTTCGTCAAAGTTTATCGATATTAAAATATCCAACTGGTAAAAAAATACGCGGATAAAAAAATTAAGCTTCATATAAGAAAACACCCCCAGGTCTCCCCTACATGTTATTTTAATTATTTTGACCCTTTGCACAACAAAAATTATGGTTTTTTGCTTTAACCCTAAATTTTTACGTATATTAGATATTAAATATCTTCATTCTACACTGTTAATTTTTTTACAAAAAAAAATATCAAATATTACAAGATGTATTAATAGCTCTGTGGGGACTGGAACTCTTTTTTGTCGTATTGTTGGTCATCTCCACCATATTATTGATATTAGGCATTAGACAAGTAAATATTTTTTTTTGACAACTTAACCTTACCTTTTATGCCAAAAATTTAATTTTTTTAAAATTTTTTTACTTTTCGTTATAGCTCCTAATAGATCACTTTTTGGTGCAGTCTATATTACAACAAAACAACTTTAAGAAAGTTGTACAAAAAAAAAATAGATTAAATGCTAACTATAAGTAAAAGTTACAAAAAAAAATACAGCTGTGAGCAGATACGTAGGTGGTTAAAGCCATTAATCTTAACCACAACCAACTATTTTTTTAAACAACCTAAGAATTTCCATTTCTGAATTTTTAAAGAAGAAACTTTGTATCATTGATAAAGCGGAATAATCTTTCTTTCTTCCTTCCTTCCTTCATTCCTTCCTTCCTTCCTTCCTTCCTTCCTTCCTTCCTTCCTTCCTTCCTTCCTTCCTTCCTTCCTTCCTTCCTTCCTTCCTTCCTTCCTTCCTTCCTTCCTTCCTTCCTTCCTTCCTTCCTTCCTTCCTTCCTTCCTTCCTTCCTTCCTTCCTTCCTTCCTTCCTTCCTTCCTTCCTTCCTTCCTTCCTTCCTTCCTTCCTTCCTTCCTTCCTTCCTTCCTCCTTCCTTCTTCCTTCCTCCTTCCTTCCTTCCTTCCTTCCTTCCTATATGTATTGTCTTTAATTGTATAAAATTCATTAATTGAATTAAAAATAAATAATTTGGTTTTTAATGCGTAAACAGATTAGGATACAATCAAATACTGTTTATATATCAAAATTCTTTTTAAATATCATTTAAATAAATAAATAAATATATATTTATAGATTATTGGTCACTAGTGTTGTTTAAAAGGCTAACTCGATATTATTGCCAGAAAAAAAATATTGTCTTAAGCCTCTAAATATTTAGTTAATTAGATGATGTTAGACCCCTTGTGCCACCTACAAACAAATTATTAAGGCTTGTGCATGATATCTTTCTGGATACACTATTGAGTTCGCCTTTATTAAAAAAAAGTTAGCAATACTATTGGTCACCCTTAAATGTAGTGTTGTTGAGTGGCACACGTTTTGAGCCGAATTCCAAGAACGGCTAACTCAATATTTCATCCAGAAATATATTATGCAAGACTTAAGATTTTGCCCATAGATTGCGCAAAGGTTCGAACACCTATCGCCGAGATCTCGAAGATTAACCAATATTTTTCTGGCTAAAATGTTTAGTTAGCCGTTTAACAACACTATCGGTCACCCTTAAATATATATATTTTTTTTTGAAAAAAATATGATATTATTTAATATAAACACTATTAATGAAAGAATACGCGAAAATTATTTTGGCCGTGGATGGTAAGTACATCAATAATAATAATGATAGTTTTGATGACGATATTAATCGCCGAAAGGTTGAGTGCTTTGGCTCCTGGGGTAAATTTTTTTGTTATATTTTTTTCTAGCATATATTATATATATATATATATATAACTTAAAAGAAAGGAGTGTTGTTAAAGGATACTTTCAAAAGTATCGCTCTTACTTTTAAATTACCTATCAAAAAACGAAGCGCGCTAGGATATTCATTTTCCAAATTGTATTTTCCGTTACTTTTTAGTTACTTTATAAAAAAAAAAATTACTATTGGAATTCAAACATTTTAAAAATAAATATGTCAACTATAGATACAATAATCTATCAGATAGTCAGTTGGATTTTATAATATATAAAAAAATTTTGCTAATTCAAAATGTATTTAATTTCATTATATTTTATTATTAAAAAATTTAGTATATATATATAAATATATACACACTATATACAGACTTCCAATTGAACTGATATATATACCCTTTTGTTTTAGCATCTATCACCTAAAATTGATTTAACATTTTTATACATTAAGAGAGGAGTGATAACTTATCAATTTCTTTTATTAATTTCTCTCAAACAGGGTCCAAAGATAATGCACATTTTAAAGTTGGGAAAACAAAATTCCAACTTCCTAAACACTCAATCCAGACGACTAAAAGATAATGTAGCACACCCTTCAAGAACGCGGTTTATCAAAACCCGCTATACGCGACATTATCTCAAAGAGCGACTAATGGAGGAACGGAATGGTTTTGGTCAAGGAATTGTTTATCGAGATCGCCTTAAAGCATGCATTCAAGCTAAAGGGGAGACATTTTTGTGTACATGTGAGAGAGTTCTAATTTTGTTTGATCCAACTCTTGAATGCATTCTCTTTGGAACCTGCTGATAGAATTTACTGAAATCTTTCAGCATTGATATTTCATTCCTCTCATCAATTCTATAAAGTAAAAAAAAATTGAAATATGTTATAGAAATGACAGATTTATCGCAAAAAGCAAATGGCTATTAGTTTCAGTATATGTGTATCAGAGACCTTCAGAGGTCCCGTTTGCACGGCTCGATAGTGATTTAAAATATTCGGTTTTAATCCGGCCCAGCCCGGTTATTATTTTACGCCTAGCCCGGGTATTTTTGAAAAAATTTAGGCCCGGCACGGTGTACCCGGACCGGACTTAAAACCCGGACCGGACTTAAAACCCGGGCCGGGCCTGCTACTAAAAAAATCATATGTGTAACCTTAAACAACACTGAAAATAGGAGAGAAATTGATCCATAAAAAAACTTAAATTTCATTCAACATTTCTTTGTTTTAGAATGGCGTGCTATTCTTCGTAATATATTGCGCTATCAGCATATCGATTGCACTCTTTTTGGTATATTTATTTTTAAAAATAAAAATATTATTTGTTTTTATGATATCTATTATCATCTATATTTCTATTTAATATTGTCTTTATTTCATTTATTTATATTTCTCTATTTTCTTTCTAACTATAATAACTTTAACCTTTCAATAAAACGCCTGTACTTGTGTCAGAAGAAATGAAAAGCTTCGTGTTCTAGTGGCGGTTTAAAAAACCGCCAACTCAAAACTTATATATCACGATTTCTATTTTAAGTAGAACAAATTTTCAAAAATAAATGTTTGATTTTAATATTTTTTTAAAAAAAAATGCATAAATAATGAGGATAATTCTAACTTCTGCCAAATTTTTTAAATTTTTTTTTACAAAACTCTAAATGAAAAATAAGTAGCCAACCCTTTACTATATATTAAGCAAAAGTTAAAAAAAAAACGAATTGATCTTTTATGGTGAATCTTACACACATGCCACATTCTCCTTCTTTCATAAAAATGTCTACATATTATAAAACTTATCGACATTTAGAATAAATTAGAGATAGGTGGCCCTAGCTCAAAATCCCAGCCCACAGATTCGGCTAAATTATCTTAAGACAGTATAAAAAATATTTACGGGCTGGCACGATAAACTTGTACAAAGTAAATTTGACTTCCGGACTGAAGAATCATAGTTTTCCACGGCTCTAATATATGCTTAGATCTAACGAATCTGCAGTGGATCTCTTGGATCACGATAATTAGCCCTTTTTATGTAATACCCAATTTCATGATGGTTGAGATGTCGAACACTCCAACCTAAGGTGCATATTGAAATATTGAACCTCCCATTCTTATCCCTTCATTCCCAACTTCACAATTTATTTTCTTTCTTCATAACTATTTTTATCTAAATTTAGATTTATTGTTTGCTCTGCGTCATATCCCATTATAAAGAATTAGAGGGACGATACTTGGAAAAGAATGCAATAAACGTATGAAAAGAGTGGAAATCTAAAACATCTGTACAAATATTATCACCACTATATAATGCCACTTTTTTTTTTAAGGTTATATAAATTTCATATTTGAGTTAATGTAAAAAAAATTTAAATTACCACAGATAATCTTTACAAAATTAAGATATATATACTATATATAAATTATGCTTCGTTTTCTTTGGATTTTATTCATTTTTGATGCATTGATCTTGAATCCATTCCGATATCGAAGGTCTATTTAATTATATATATGAACAATAAATTTGGACAAATTATATACTCTTAAATTCTTAGAAACGGCGGCGAACTTATAAAAATTCGCAAAATAAAAATACAGAGAAGAATAAAACTTTTTTGCTTTTCTAATCTTCTTAGAATTTCTGTGTGGCTATAAAAAAAAAAATAACATGAAAGAGATTTCCAAGACTTATATAACATAAATAAGGGAGAAAAGGGGATTATTTCAAAGTTAACACTTTTGAAACAATAGGAGAGGAGGTAGGAAATTAGCAGGAGAGAATAGCCTCCAAGTAGCTTCCCTCTAGTGTTGTTGAATGGCCCGGCCCGTTGGTCCCTTTTTGAGGCGATTTTTTAAAACGGCTAATTTAATATTTTAGACAGAAAAATATTACCTAAACCTCGATATTTCGTTAATACATGTCTACATCTTTATTCATTCTTTTAAGCAAAATCTTCAGGCTTGCCCTAATACTTTTCTGGATGAAAGAGTGAGTTAGCCATTTTTAAAAATCGGTCTCACAATACTTTCCCTGTCAAAACAATTATTCAAAACGAATTTTGCATTTTTTAAAAAAAAAATTTCTTCGGCTATTTAAACGATATAATATTTAATGATAAGTAACATTTTACTTTTATTTTGATATAATTAAATAAATATATCCTTCTCCTAGCCATCGATTTATTACGAAAAATTCATTTTTTTTTATTCATTCAAATATACATAACAACAATTAAAAACTATATCATATATATTTCTTTCTTTCTTTTCTTTCTTTCTCTCTTCTCTTCTCTTCTCTTCTCTTCTCTTCTCTTCTCTTCTCTTCTCTTCTCTTCTCTTCTCTTCTCTTCTCTTCTCTTCTCTTCTCTTCTCTTCTCTTCTCTTCTCTTCTCTTCTCTTCTCTTCTCCTCTTCTCTTCTCTTCTCTTCTCTTCTCTTCTCTTCTCTTCTCTTCTCTTCTCTTCTCTTCTCTTCTCTTCTCTTCTCTTCTCTTCTCTTCTCTTCTCTTCTCTTCTCTTCTCTTCTTCTCTTCTCTTCTCTTCTCTTCTCTTCTCTTCTCTTCTTTTCTCTTCTTCTCTTCTATTATATAATATATATATATGTACATATATACATATATACACATTAAATTTTAGAAAAACAATATAAAATTCATAATCTTATTAAAGAGGGGAAAGGGGCAGGATTGGTACACTATTATGAAAATCGTAATTGAGTTCCTAAAAAAACGCTGACTAATTATATATAAATATTTCGATTTGTATTTTTTTTGTCCTAAGAAAAAGGAAATTCTTTGGTTACAAATATGTGTAGTCGTATATGGGCCAAGAATAGAGATGTTAGAGACAAAATGTCTACTTGAATGAAGTTATCCATTTTTTTTGGTAGTTGTTTGTCATTTTTTTCTATTTTTGGCTTGAGTGAGTGTGTTGCTCTTGATATTTTGGGGAAAGTGGTAATACGGATATACTACCAGATGAGAGATTTATCTCGAGTCCATGAGTTAGTTGTGAGTCCAAATTTTCTGAGGTCATTATCTGATGAAAAGTTTACGAGTTTGTTAAATAAATATAGGAAAAAAAATGCAAATTTAGATATTTACTAGCAAAGGGAGAAAGTCACTTTTGACGGTATGGTGACCAATCACAGATATCAGTTAAATCACCGGATAACTAGCTTTAGCAAGAATGTTTGTTTAATAATGACTTAAACCTATAAGTTGAATTTCAATTTAAATATTAGAACGATTTTTTTAAGATAAAAAAAAAACATATGATTGGCCATTTTTAGATTTTGTCAAAGTTAGAATTTCTGACCAGGGCGCAAATGCAGAAAAATAGAAATAATGGCTCACCCCATCGATTATCCACCAAGGGTCATTTGAGGGAAAGTCTCTTCTTATCATATTGAATTTAGAATCCCTTTATGAATGGTCATAGCGCACCTTAGTTGCATAATCCTCTATAATTCTCTCACATGAATATCATTGAATAGCTAACCTTACATCTAGGTTTTAATGTCGAATTTCTAAATTATCATCGTTTTTAATCCTATTGATACCAAAAGGCTATCATCGCATTCGATTTACATTTTTATAAGGGCTCAGTCATCCCAAGCCATAATAATGATAGGTAATTTTTTAAATTAGTCCACTTGACCCGTTAAAATTTAACCTAAAGTCCGCCTCGGTCCGCTAAATTTTTTTAAACATATTCCCGACTCGCTAACCGGGGGTACGGCTTAGCTGGACCGGTGTTTGGTTAATTTTTAATTTTAAATGATATGATTTATATTTTATAAAAAATAAGCGAATGAATAAAAAAGAAGAAGAAGAGAAGTATTTAGTTTAGATTGTTATCTTAAAAATTTTACTTTGCAAAAAAAATAATTATAAACGGTAGAGTATCTTAATCCACTAGGGAGTAATAAAAAACATAAAATCAAGTCTGGATTTAACATAATAGTTTTTTTTTATATATATACTTTCATTATAAATGAATCATAAAATGGTGAAATTTTTTCTTTAAACTATCTCTGAACGTGGGTTTAGAAGTAAAACTAAATTCTGGATTAGGGAAAAGAAGGTTCAAAGTCTTTATATTGTTCAGAACCTTAATATCTAATAGAAAAAGCATTCAGTAGGAAATATTATATAAATTTAAGTTAAATGTCTTTCAATGGCGGGTACTATAGCCAAATGACAGTTACAACTGACATCAACCGTATATAAAATTGTTGGATGATACTTTAGTATTAAATATCATTGAAGAAAAAAAACTTCAGACATTATTACATCTAATCAAATCAAATCAAAAAACCATAGCAAGTTAGTGTGCATTTTGAAATAATATGAGCTTTTTATAATATTAAGAAAGAAAGAAAGAAAGAAAGAAAGAAAGAAAGAAAGAAAGAAAGAAAGATATCCTTTTTACGTAAATTTTATTTTTATATATTTACTTTAATTAATCTTATCTTAGAAATTATTAATACGCTCTTACCTTTTGATGAAATTTATATCAGCCAGCCACTATTCAAGTAAAGTAACCAATGACCTAAAATAATTATTTTTTAAAGATTTTTAGAAATTTAAAACATATCTAATTTTTTATTTTTAAAGTAGTTATATTCTCGTGAAATCATTAAAAAATAAAATAAATGCATTTTTAATATATATGGGCCTTTAAATTTTTCTGATACGGCATTTCCTTTAAAAAAAATATATTGATACCGCACCCTCTCATTCATCCCTCATTAATTTTTAGTACCAAAAAAAACTTCGATACTTTTTCGATACTTTTATTCGGGGTTGACATTTAGCGATTTGAATTAAACGAATTTAAACTCTTTTGGTAAAAGGCAAAATGGTCTAACTAGCCCTAAGATCCAAATTTTTACTGTCTTCGACTGAATTTCGGCCTTTAGAAAACAAAATAATATGTTTATAACTTATACTTTTAAAATGCGTGTTCTAACTATATACTTTTATAATATGGGTAAAACTTTATTTTTAAAAAATGATTTAGCTAAATGCAAAACAAAAATAAAAATTATTGTCATCTAAAAATTGAAAAGACAAATAAGACACCAAAATATATTACATCGATATTGACCTTAATGATCCAAAATTATTTTTTAAGGGTTATCTAGCTAGATTGTAGCTAACTAACACCAAAATATATTACATCGATATTGACCGTAATGATCCAAAATTATTTTTTAAGGGTTATCTAGCTAGATTGTAGCTATCTAACACCAATGACCATTTGTTTCAATAAAGTAACGCGCTATTTAGCTT